AAGCATACACAGACACATGTATAAACAGCAGCAGTAAAACTAAAAATACAGGTCTCAATAAAGAAATTAATTAATTAATCCTCTTTCCTTGGCTTGACCTCTTCTTCTGAGCTTGTGGTCCTGATAAAGCTTGTCTATTCTTCTTCTGTTTATTAGCATTAGCTTGCTTCTGAGCATATAAAAAATCAGATTATATAATCATATTATATATTTAAATTTTTACAGGATCTGCTGCTCGATTGATTAGGAACGAGGATAAATTTGCCGCTTTATATAGCATGTTTCTCTAGGGAGCCTTCTCCTCTTTGCATATGTAATTTCCCTTTTCCTGTCTCAATCCTGAAGAGTAAAGATTTGTGTCAGTTTTGCAGACAAGAAGCCACAATTTCAGAGAGGCCAAGTAACTTGCCTGAGATCTCGCCATAGTGGGACGAATAATTCAAACAAGAGAGTCATGACTCGTGCTAACCACATAACTAGAAAGCAAGGGGCTATGATCCCAGCCCTGTTTATCGGGTTTCCCATTTATCTTATTCACCAAACACACTTGGAGGTCCTTTTAAAAAACACCTCTTATTATGGAAAAATCCAACCCTATAGAAAAGTAGACAGAATAATGAACCCTTAAAATTTTAATTCAGCCCAGAATTGCTTGCACTTACAGCTGCCAAAGGTTGAGGGCACTGAATGAAAGGGAAACACGAACTTGCCGTTTCCTTTTCTTTCTTAAGACAAAAAAGATATTCAGGACAAATTTTAGAATCATTGACGGTTTCTAGGAAGATTTTCTTTTTTGGAAGCAAAAAGGTACTCTTGTCTCCTTAATTGTTCTTAGCGTTCTTTGTCACCAATCATGATATTCTTTGTGGAAAGTATTAATATACCATCTTCCTGTGTTCAATATTCTCATTAATAACAGAAAGTCTCACAAAAATATCTGCATGAAAAGCCCCCAAGCACTAATTTCAGAGACAAATAGAAGATGAAACCACCACTAAGCGTTTCTTCTGAAATGCATGATGCAAATTAATTGATATCTTAATTAGGCTTTAGCATGAAGATTATTAATTAGATGGAATCTGAACTGAACATCTTAAGAGGAAAAGCTGAGGATGTGGCACTGGCGGGGAGAAAAGATGTAATGTGTCAATGTTCTGTTCGAAATCTCTTTTGCTTAATGAGAGATTTTTCAAAGAAGGGGCCAAGAAGGACAGCATGCTTCGTGTATCAGTCCCTGCCTACCCTGCCCTGGTCAATTTTGGAGACTAAAGATTAGTGCTGTCCTTAGAGTGAACAGGAACCCATGGGTAGAGGGAGTTCTGACCCGAGCCAGCCCCTGGTGCCCTTGTTATCCCACCCTCGCACTGCAGCCTCCTTCCTCTGCCTCACTAGAGTAGAAGCCCTTAGAGGGCAGGGATGCCCCCTGTTCTGTCACCACAGTGCTGGTGTGGTGCCTGACTTGGAGCAATTGTGATAGCATCACAGTGAACAGTTATACAGAGCTTACTGTGTGTTCTGGGTCCTGTTCTCAGCACTTCACATAACTCGTTTAAGCATCATAACGCCAGTGTGAGGTAGGGACTATTGGTATCCCCACTTTACAGGTGAGCAAATTGAGGCACAGGTTGAGCAAATTGCCCTTCAAAAATTACAAAGCTGATACTGATTCAGATTTAAACCACAGCAGTCTGGCTCTGGATTCCTCACCCTGAAACACTGCCATAGCAAGTAATGGTCAATCCATACTTGTTGAATTAAATGAACAAAGATACCATGAATCTCTGGTCCCTCCTGATGGACTTCCCTCTAGTTCCTAGTTTTTATTTAAGGACCAGAGCTTTATCCTACCCTATTCTAGGCCCCATCAGCTTCTCTTTAGGGGTAAGGCTGCAGGTGTTTTACGTATTCCTACTGAGGGGGCCCCCACGGCCATGGCACAGCCCACCACCCCAATTCAGCCTGAGTCCCTAATAACACGGCCAGCCCAGGTTCCACCAATCAGCCTCTGTGGCCATTGGGAATTGCAGGGTCACTGTCATTCTATATCTGTGGTGGCTTTATGGCATGCCTTACTGCTAAGGCCACTTACTGCAGAGGGTTATGGTAATATGTAGGGTTTACTTTTATAGGGTTCAAGATACTTATAAGGTGTATTTTATTTACCAAGACGGCATTCCCTAGGGAGGGTCCCTGGAAGGCTCTACTCATAAAAGGTAACCAGAACTAGAGCCCAGGGATGACGGGGGAACTGCAGAAATTAAGTTCCTCATTTTACAGAGAGGGCACTGTGGCTTGCCCCTTGCCACAGTGGAGCTGATCGGAGCGATGTGGTATGAACCCAGACCACATGGGATGGCAGGAAGGGTGTGTGGTTTAGAGCTGTGGCCTGGTTCGAAGACCCACCTCTCCAACCGGCCAGCTGAGAGACCGCATCATTCAATCTTTCCAGGCTTTGTCTCCTCATCTGTAAAATGGGGACAATGCCCAGTTCACAAAGTGATTGCGAGGATCATAAGGAAGCTCTTCACTTGCAAGCTGCTCCACAAATGAATGATATTAACAACGATCAAGGCATTCTAATACCGAATTCAGCTCTTTCAGCTGCTAAACCCCTCCTGGATGTGTGTTGAACTCAGGTGCTGTGTTCTCTCCAGACTGACCCAAGTGGTACCTGGGATTCTGCATCTTAACAAGCTTGCCAGCTGAGCCGAACGTGCTCTCATGTTGGAGATCGACTCGGTAGCCGATAACGCAACACAGAGGAAGTGCTTCTGGGTTTGCTCAGAGCCCTCTCTTCCTTTGGCCAAGGTCCACAGCCTGAGACCTCAACAGGCCTGATTTTTACACTGGCTGTGCAGCTGGCGGGATGCGGGGGCCGGTGGGCAGGCTGAGTGGATACAGCTGAGGAGAGCTGCTGCTTCCTGCTGGACCCCTGCATCAGGGCAAGTGGGTGAAAATGTGACTGAAACCCAAGCTTCCTCCGGCCTGAGCGGGAAGGCCAAGGGCCGCACCCGGGCAGGTGGCCCTGGTAAGCTGTGCGGCTTAGTGGGCTTGCTGGACAGCTGCCACCTGTCACCTGCCGCCTGCCACATGCTCTACTTTTAAGCTGGGCTGCTGAGGCTGAGCCCATGTTTGCACCACCAGGTTCATTCGAGGGAACTGCCCTGAGTGTATATAGGGGGTGGGGAGTGGGCAGGGGAGAATTTAGGCTTGGAAAAGAGGCAGCCTCATGGCCCCGAAGCCCCCTCCATTCTGCAATGATTCCATCCACAACAGCTTTTAAATCTGGCCTCAGAATTGCCCTTGTAGAACCCTCTTACAGGCAGCCCCGTGCGTGGGGTTTGGACTGTAAATACGCCGACCAGAGCAACACTCTTTTCTTGAGGGCTTCCCCCCATCGTGGCGGCTCAGTTAAGTTTGGGGCCAGACCCAGCATGGGCTACCCTCCCCACCCTGATGGTAGGAATCTCCCCCAGCTGTTCTCTTCTGCATGTTTCTGGTGTTCCCAAGGCTTCGCAGCAGGCCGAGGGGGGCAGCTGGCCAGGGAAGGGTGGAGCCCTGCCCCTGCTTCCTCCCACCCCTCCCTGCTGCGGCCTGTCTCAGGCTCTGCCCCAGAACCCGCTGCTGTTAAAGTCTCCCTGGAGGAAGCCCCTTTCAAAGCCATAGCCGGGGCTGCCTCTGAAAACAGGCTATCCCCCTGAGCATCCTGTGAAGGGCCTGTGGTCACTGGGCAGGGGTTGGTTGCCAGGGTAACTCCCCCACCACATCCACATTCCAGCCTTGCCCAGGAGAGTCAAGCGCTAGTTCCGACCGATACCCCTTCCTTGCCCCACAGCCCTTGAAGGGAAAACGCAGTTCCTTCTATTGTGGTATCCCCTGTGTTTTACAAAGCGCTCTCAGTATGCTCTCACTGGATTCCCACACAAAAACCACATAGAAGAGGTAACATGGTTCCCACCTTACAGATAAAGACGAAACGCCAAGAGGAATTCTATGACTTGATGGAGATCATTGAGTTGGGAACCAGCCAGGCCTAGATCCAAACTTAATCTTCCTAGGTCTGGATTCCCACTATCTTACGGGGTTGGGGCTTTTGCACACACGATACAAAGGCCATTCTCAGGCTTTCTAGGCACAGGTGCGTTGATGCCTGACGACGCTATTGCGGATTTTCCCAAAGTGCACTGCCATGTGCCCGTGAACAAAAGATTTAATAGTCAAGTGAGATCAGAAAACAGATGCCTGTTACATAATGCATACTAGGATGTTGCAAGCCCTAAATAGCCCTTCAGTGAGGAATGGGATTAATACAGTTTAACCCAGAGTCTCCAAAACTTGTCTGGCAATAGAGTCTTTTTGTTTTTTGTTCTTTCACCTAATGCCCATTAACAAGCCACGAGAGTTGTGTTCCTTAGACCTACTCTGAAAGGCTGAGCCAGGCTCCTTCGTAATTACAGTTGCTGACAAAGGGACAAAGACGGTGGGGGGGAGGCCACTTGTTTCTGTACCAAGAGGAGATCAGCACGCTTCCTCCATGCCTCGAGGCCAGTCAGGAGATACTGCGAGAGTCCCCCTGGCCAGTCCTACCACCTGAACTACACAGAATCACCTGGTCCCCACAAAACCCAGGCCCCTGGTGTGCTGGGGCCAAATGCTATATTTTCAGAAAACTGATTCAGTCGTTAAATCACTGTAACTTGAAATTGACCATGGTGGGAGTGTTTACCTTGTAGAAATCAGCAAACACTACAGATCTGGGTTCTCTCCCTGCTTATCCTGAGAATCTTATTTACCTGTGCATCACTGACCCTGGGATGTTTTCTGAAATTATTAGAAAACGTGGGTGAGGCTGTGACAACAGGGACTGAGGGTGACCTGACACAGAAGTCCTAGCTCATCCGAGCCCCAACTCTCCTGAATGCAAGCTGGGAACCACACAGAACGATCAACTTCCAGACACAATCCCCAATGAGTCAGAAAGTGCCTCCTGGCCTGCTTACCTTGATATCTGTCACCAGCCAGTGTCTCCAGAATCGAGCTTTGGGAGAAGACCTGCTGGGGGCATCTGGGTCCACCATCACCAGGATGTAGGTTGCACCCTGTAACACATTCGCCAGAAAGAAACGTAACATCGTGGTGACAACTGGGGCAGGAAATCTAAAAGGTGCAGACTTTCTTTTATGTCAATTCCAGCTGAGAGTGGCTGACCAACGCTTACAGCTTCCTACTCGGTTCATCCTTGTTCTTATGACATTCCTTCTCTTGTGTCACATGTTTATTCTCAGAGAAACAAAGTCTACTAAGTAGGCAGCTGAATAGCTTGGCTTTCCCCTTATGAGGAAGAATTAATCAAACAAGCACATTTACCAAGCACAAGGAAGTCCCTAATATCTTGCCAGGTGCTGCGGAGGAAACGAACCTAAAACAGGGCTTCTGCTCTCATGACGCTCACAGTGTACTTGGAGCAACTTGTCCATTAATTCAGCAAACACAGGAGAGCTCACTCTGTGTTGGGGAGTATACTAGTTGCCAGGAATGCTAGGATTCATTCATCCCTTTGACAGCACTTACTGAACATCTACAATGTGCCAGAAACTATTCTAGGTGCTAGAATCCAACAGAGAACAAGACAATGTGACCCATACTTTTAGGAAGCTTCCAGTCTAGGTAAGAGACACAGGTTAAAAAAAAAAACAAACCCTAACAACAACAGCAACAACAAAAACGAAGGAAATGCCAACTTGTGATTCGCGGTATCATTAAAATAATATAGGGTGGGGCTGGAGGGAGTCCGCACTAGGAGAAGGGGGAACAACTACTACAAGGGCCTTCAGGTGGGAACAAGTTGGGGTTTGAGGACAGGAACGCCCCGTGGACACGGCAGGGTTGGAGGGGTAGGTGGGGATCCCACCACAGAAGGCTTTGCAGGCCTGGGTGAGGAGTGGGGTTTTATCTTAAGTGCAGTGCAGAACCACTGGAGGGTTTTTTAAAGCCAGGAGAGTGAAGTGCTCTGATTTATGTTGTTGAAAGACAGTCTTCCTGGCTGCGTGGAGAGTGAATGGTCAGCAGGAGGCGAGAGAGGAGCCGGGAGGCCAATGAGAAGGCCACTGCCGTAGTAAAGGGAAGAATGCTGGCACTTTGGACTAGAATGGTGGCAATGGGGATAGAAACCAGTAGATGAACTGGGGACGTATTTTTAGGTAGAATCGGTGGGATTTGCTGAAGGAAAATAGGGCAGGAGGAGAGGGAAGGAAAGAGAAATCAAGGGTGAGTCCTGGGTTTTTGGCTAGAGCAACTGGGTGAATGGTGCCACCTAATGCCATGGAGAAGACTTGGAGAGGACAACCTTTGGAGGGGGATACTGACAGTTCTATTTTAGACATGTTATGTTTGAAATGCCTCTTCAAGACAATCAAGCATATAGGCCACAGTCTGGAGTCTGGCAGAGAGATCAGGACGGGATATATAAATTTTGGAGTCACTGACTCCAAGGACCAAAGATGGCCCTTAAATCTACAGAATAATATTATTCATGGAGAGATTAGACATGGGGGAGAAAAGCAGTCTCGTGAGCAAACTCTAGAATGTGGTAATGTTGGGAGGAGAGGAGGATCTTGCAAAGGAGACTGTGAAGCCAGAGAGGTAGGGGATCCCCCTGAAGGATAGGGTATCATGAAAGCCGAGACAGAAAGTGTTTCGAGGAGGAGGAAGTGATCGGCTATGTCGAATGCTGCTGATGGGTAGAGCAAGACGAGGACACAGATGCAACAATGTGATCTGACAGCCTGGAGATCCCTGTTATCTTGGCAAGACCAGTTTCAGTGGAGAAGAAAGGACTGATGTTTGACTGGAATAGGTGGCGATGAGGTGGGAGATGAGGAACTAAAGACAGTCATTAAAGATGGTAAAAAAGAAATGTTAGCATGAGGGACAGCTGGAGGCAGAGTAGTAGTTACTAGATGGGAAGGAAGAGTCAAGAGATTTATTTATTTACTTAATTTTTTAAGAGATGGCTCTTCCGGGGACCATATCTAGACACATTCAGAATGGTCCAGCATTTGACATACCGTTGTAGGCTGTCCTACAATACAGCCTCTAACAAAACTAGGCTGTCTTGGTATAAAGGTAAATGTTCGGGACATTTACCTTTATACCAAGAAAGTTGGGAAAGCACCAAAATCCGCATGTGGCGTGTGCCCAGGCCGACTTCGAGGAGTTCGCGCTGTGAGACCTAAAGTTCTTATGAGACTGTCTAAAACAAAAAAACATGTCAGCCAGGCTTATGGTGGTTTCATGTGTGCTAAATGTGTCTGTGACAGGATCAAGCGTGCTTTCCTTATTGAGGAGCAGAAAATCGTTGTGAAAGTATTGAAAGCACAAGCATGGAGTCAAAAAGCTAAATAAAAAAAAATGTAGCTTTTTTGAGCAATAAAAAAGTGAAAAAGCAAAGAAATAAAAAAAAGATGGATGACAGTCAAGCACGTCTGCAGGCTGATGGAAGTGATCCAGTAGACAAGGAGGTGTAGATGTCAGAGAGAAGAAAGGGGATCGTTGCAAAAGCCAAGACTCTGGGGAGGTGGGAGGGGACAGGATCCAGAGCAAGTGGGGGGGTGGTCTATGGTAGGTGCCGAGGACACAGGTTCAGTTGCAGGGGCGTTAAAAGGTGTGGTAGTGAGGAATGAGAAAATTGTATTCTGATGACTCCCATTTTCTCAATGAATTAGGGGCAAGGTCATCAGCAGAAGAGGGATTAAAGGAAGTCTGGGGACAGAGAAGGTGTGAAATAGTCATTTTGGAAAGGGAGAAATTGAGTATACCACAGGTATGTGGTAAGGTTACTGGGTAATACATTCTCCGTAGTTGTGTGCTTTTTAACTGTCCAGGTGCAGACGTGGAATAAGGGGCAGCTGGGTTTAACCTGGCTAGGGACAGACTGGCGAGTATAATGGAAGAGAAGGGAGTGACAGAGTAAGAGTGAGAAAGAAAATAGAGGAGGGTTCCAAGCTTCCTTTTGCTCTTCAGGGAGAGACAGACGCAGACATGCTGCAGGACAGTGCGGGAAGTGCCCGAGTAGCGGAGCATTTATCAGGTCCTAAGAGGGCACAGAGGAGGGAGCCTAACCTCTCTGCTTCAGGAATATAGGAAGGCTTCACTGAATTGTCTTTTGAGCTTGATCTTGAGGGATGAGCAGGTAAGGGGTCAGGAAAAGGACTCTGTAAGCAAAGGGCAAGGTCTGTGAAAAGGCTTGGGGGAGCTTGGGGAAGGGCAGGAATCTTGATGTGCCGGGACATAGGGCGTCTAGAAAGGAATGGTGAGTGATGGAGCTAAAGGGTAATTGGGACCCAATAATAGAAAACCTTACATGCCCTAAATTGTTTAGATTTGTTTTGCAACAGGACCCACTGAAATTGTTTGAACAGACGACTGACATGATTAAATGTGTGTTTGGGAAAGGCACATGGCGAGGAAGAATCAAAGACTAAAAGCTGAGCAAAAAAAGAAAAGGAAAGACAACTGGGATACTCTGAAGAGAGATCACAAGGGCTTGAAAATTCAAGTAGTAGTAATAAAGATAGAAAGGAGGGGCATTTGTACGTAGAATCAACAGCATGAAGTGACTGGACAGGTGAGGGAGAGGGAGAGGTCCAGGAGGACTCTGAGAGTCTGCCTTGGGCAACTGGGTGGATGACAGTACCATGAATATTACGAGTAGAAAATCTGGGAGACGGTGAGTTTGGTGTTGCAACCTATAGGCAGAGAGGTACCTGGAATGGAGCTATGAGGCTGGAGCTCTCTCAAGATTTGGCATGTGGGTAGGGGGCGTGGGGTGAATGAGACTGCTAGGGAGAACTTACAGAGTGAGGACAGAACAGTATTAGGGTGGACTGCAGGAACTGAGACGGGTGGGAGAGGAGAGACTGAGGGGAAGTTAGGAGGAGAACTAGGGAGCAGAGCATCGTGGACACCAAGTCAAAAAAGAGAAATAAGGAAGGAGTAGGGATTGGGGTCAGTGTGACAGAGCCATCAAGGGAGAGGACCACAAAGCAGCGTTGGCTTTGACAACTGGGGGAATCACTGGCAACTTTCCAGAGATGTGTAGTTTACAGACAAAAGTACTGTTTGTTGAATGTTAAAATCCAAAAGAAGCAGTGAACCACCTATTAGATGCCATAGGAAATTAGACAACTTGAAGACAAAGCCCAAGGGAATCTCCAAGAACTCAGAAGAAAAAGATAAAGAGATGAAAATAACAGAGGGCAATAGGACTGTATCCTAACGAGCCTGTGTATGTATGAGGGGGTGTGTGGATCCCAACGGAATCCCAGAGAAAAAAAACATTTGATATACCCAAGAGTTGGTTCTAGCCAGAGTAACAAGAAAATAAAAAGAAACAAAGTGTAAATACCGTAAAAGAATGAAAAAGCCCATCTACACTCTGTCTCTTAATTCTTTTACAAATGATGTAAATACAATGAGAAATCCAAAAGAACTGGCCGGAGACTAGACTAATATTCAGTAAAGTGAGTTGTTGTAAAAAGTACACAAAATCAGTATTTCCCTACAGACTAATAGTAGTCAGAAAATATACTTTTAAAATCCCACTTACAATTGTAATAAAAAGGTACAATATCTAGGAATAAACTGGATGAAAAATCCAAGACTTATACAAAGAAACAAAAACATTACTGATGTACATAAAACTAAAACTTGAATCGAGGGAGTAAGACATACTATGCTTTTACATTAAAATAATATTGGCAAATATATCAATACTCCTTTAATTAATCAGTTAATTTAACATAATTCCGATTAAAATCCTTAATAGATGCTTGGGAACTTCATGGAATGATTCTAAAACTCAGAATAAAGCAAGAGAAAAAGAGGAGGAGGAGGAAGAAGAATGAGCGAAGGCAATATTGATTGAAAAGGAAGAAATGGGGGGATGGCATTGATTTTGTAGATATTAAAATACATTATTAAGTTAAATAATTAGAGCAATGTGGTTTTGATTAAGGAATAAACAAGGAAGTAAAACAAAATCTAGAGAGAAACTCACATTTTTAATATAGGTGTATTTAATATGTGATCGAGTTATCAT